TTTTGAGATGGACTCTTGCTCTGTTGCCCAGGCTGGAGTGCAGTGGTGCAATCTGGGCTCACTGCAACCTCTGCCTCCCGGGTTCAAGTGATTCTCCTGCCTCAACCTCCCGAATAGCTGGGATTACAGGTGCCTGTCACCATGCCTGACTAATTTTTGTATTTTTAGTAGAGACAGGTTTCACCACATTAGTCAGGCTTGTCTCGAACTCCCAGCCCCGTGATCCACTCGCCTCAGCTTCCCAAAGTCCAGGGATTACAGCATAAGCCACTGTGCCAGACCCAACCTCTCCTTTTATCAGCACATCTCCTTTGCAGTTCAATTTCCTGTGTGCCTGTTTGGAGAACCCTTGCCATCACATCGGACACACCTGGATAATCCAGGAGAGCCTTTCTATCTTGAGATCCTTAGTTAATCTCATCTGCAAAATCCTATTTTCTATGTTAGGTAACACTTGGATTGATTATAGACATTAGGACATGGATGTCTTTGGGGGCCATAATATTACCTACCTCACTTCTCCCAGACTCCCAGCCCTGTGACATCGGGACCACCTGTGACTCCTCCACCTCCATTCCGATCCCATGTCTACTCACAGGATGTAGTGACAGCACCAGGTCATGTGCCCACTCTGATCTACTGATACAGGCTGCCTGAACTATGATGCTGAGGACTGTGAGGTTGTGTCTTTGATTCCAATAAAGTATTGTCTGATTAAGTAGTATGTCTGCCGTAGGCGTGGGATGTCAGGTCAGCAGGAATACTTTGCACCTCCATCCCAGCTCCTCCTGGGACTGACATCTCCTTCCCATGCCCACAGGCTTCCTCCTCCCCCAATTAGAAATGCTCGTCCAAACCATTGCAATAGGTCTGTGTGGACTGGATCCCTCCGCAATCGAAGTCCTAAACCCCAATGTGGCTATATTGAAGATGGAGGCTATAGGAAAGTAATTAAGGTTAAATAAGGGCGAGACCCTGACACAATAGAATTGGTGTCCTTATAAGAAGAGGTAGAGACACCAGAGAGCTCTCACTGTTTCTGTGCCTGCACAGACACCAAAGAAACACCACACTGAGAAGGTAGTTGTCTGCCAGCTGGCAAGCGGGTGACCTGAGACTTGATCACAGCCTCCAGAACAGAGAGTAAATACATTTCTGTTGGTTAAGCCACCTAGCCTGTGGTATTTTGTTATGACAGTCTGAGGTGACTAAGACAAGCTCCTCAAGAATAAAAATCTCTCAGCAAACTCACACAAGAACAGAAAACCAAACACCTCATTTTCCCACTCATACCAGGTGTTGAACAATGAGAACACATAGGCACAGGGAGGGGAGCATCACACACTGGGGTCTGTTGGGGGTGAGGGCTAGGGGAGGGACAGTGGGGTTGGGGGCAGGGAGGTTGGGAGGGATAACACTGGGAGAAATGCCCAATGTAGGTGACAGGGGGATGGAGACAGCAAACCACCAAGGCATGTGTGTACCTATGCAACAATCCTGCAAGATCTGCACATGTACCCCAGAACTTAAAGTACAATAAAAAAAAAAAAAGAATTAAAATCTCTCTTCCCGGCTCTAACCTGCCTTCTATACTATTTCCAGAGATTTCAGAGCAGTGGTTTCTACATGTTGGTCCTTAGACCAGTGCCAGTTTTAATAATGAGCCAAATGAAATGAGAAAATCATATGTTAGGGTGCCATTGTTAACTCTTCCCTCTTGAGAAGGGCAGTCCTTTCTTCTGAGATCATGCTCATTGAATGGAGAGTAAATGTAAAAATGGCCTTTCTTTTATGAAATAGGAGTTATAGTAGGTGCAACCTGTTATTTTTATTAATGTTCTTGTAAAAATTAAAAGTTGTTTTCCCAAATTTTTAAAAAGATTACTGGTATGAGATATCAAAATATCTGTGAATGCCAGTTTTATATCACAGCTCTAACCACATCAGGCCTCCTGCTCCCAGTCTTGAAATGTGAATATCTCTTCCCATAAGTGGAAGGAAACCCCCTGGCTACCCCAACCCCTAATCCCCACCCCAACCTCATCCACCAGGGAGGACAAAGGTCAACCAGTGAAGACAACTTTAAGACTTTTATGAGTCTGGAGATGGCACCAGAAGCTTTTACATTAACAAGCTTTACCAACTTTACCTGACATTTCACTTTTCCACAAGTCACTACTATTAGAGACTCAAAGTCCTTTTTAATTCTCGAGTCGCGTCTCTAAAACTATACTGTTCTTTGTTGAGGATGCTATATAAGCTGGAATTCAAAGTCACCTCTTTAAGAGCTACTTATTCTCTGGGTGTCTCCCATGTATATATACAATACACATGTTATTCTACTTGTTTTTCTGTTATTAATCTGTCCATTCCAACTAAGAACTTATGAGAACAGAGAAAAAATATTTTTCCTCTCCTACAAAGTCTTCCTGATCACCCAGCCACTGACAGTCTTCTCCTCCCCACAGGTCATTTGGATCTTCATTGTGGCATTTGCATCTTGGCTTGTTTGAGCTTGTTAGATACCTTCTGCTAAGGAGCATGAATATGTGGTGATTACAAACACGGCTTCGTCAGAACAGTCTAAATTCGATTCTTGTCGGCACCACTTACTAACTGGGATAAACTCCTTAACCTCTGTGAGCCTCAGTTTCTTCATCTGTGTGATGGGGTGATTGAAGTGCCTCTAGGTGGGGTGCCATAGGAAGCACAGTGGCACAGTGCCTGCAAAGGAAACCATTAGGCCAACCTCATCGCTGTGAGGACCACAGCTCATTCTTCTGTGTCTCCTTCGGGGGCCAGTGCTTGGCCTGACAGGCTCCTGTCCTCATCTCGTCGTTTGCTGCTTCTCTTGTGACTAGCACAAGGCTCAGCTAGTACCTATTGGCCTGAACATGAATGTGCCTGACCTCAAAATAATCTCCAGTTTTTCGGCTTTTAAGAAGGAAGAGGATACTGAGGAAAAATGGCAGATAGGAGGCAGGAATGATTTGCAGCTCCCATCAGATGAACAGAGCAGTGTGTAGAGACCCATATCATGAACTTTTCCTCCAAGAACTACCACAGAATCATACTAGGAAAGTAGGCAGGGTCCACAGACTCTTTGAAGGAGCTGGATTGCGGCTGCAGGCTCCATGGGACAACGGAGGAACTGAGTTTGCTTGCGTTCTCAGCTGGGAGGCTTGTAGCCTGGGGCAAGTTCTCAGCCCTACCCACCAGCTGCCTGGAAATAAACTTACTGCTGTTGGTGGGGCATGGTAGGAGTGAAACTAGCTTTTTGGGCTGTGGGCTGCATGAGAGCTGAGTGAGGCCTGTGGCTGCCAGCTTTCCCCAACTTCTCCAGCAACCTGCGTGACACAGCAGACCCAGCCATAATCCACCTGGGAACATAACTGCATTGGCCTGGGAACAACACTGCCATACACCATAGTTGCAACAGCAAATCCAGCCCAAGGAGAGTATGAGCTCAGACAAACCTAATCCTGCCCGCACCTGATGATCTTTCTCTACCTGCCCTGATAGCTAAATACAAAGGACATAATCTCTTGGGAGCTCTATGGCCAGGAGTGAGTCTCACCCACTGCCTGATCCTCCCTACACTGATGCATTCTTGAAAGCACCACCTCCTAGCTGGAGGCCAACCAACACAAAACCAGTGCACTTAACAAAAATACAAGGACCCTCACAGAGTCTACTTCAACTCCCCTGCTACCTCCACCAGAGCAAGTGCTCATATCCGTGGCTGAGACTTAAAGATGGATCATATTATGGGACCCGCACCAGCCCAGAGCCCAGTAACTCTACTGGGTGGCCAGGTGCAATAGAGAAATAACAATCACTGCAGTTCAGCTCTCAGGAAGCCTCATCCCTAGGGAAAGGGAGAGCACCACATCAAGGGAGCACCCCGAGGGACAAAAGAATCTGAACAGCAGCCCTTGAGTCCCAGTTCTTCCCTCTGACATAGTCTACTGAAATGAGAATAAAGCAGAAAAACTATTCTGGTAATATGACAAGATCAGAGCAGAACTAAATGAAATTGAAACCAAAAGAAATACAAAAGAAAAATGAAACAAAAGATGGTTCTATAAAAAGATAAACAAAATTGATAGACCGTTGGTGAGATTAACCAAGAAAAGAAAAGATCCAAATAAACTCGATTAGAAATTAAATGAAAGACATTCTGATACCATAGAAATACAAAAGGTCATTCAAGGCTACTATGAACACATTTGTATGCATAAACTAGAATATGTAGAGGAGATGGATAAATTCCTGGAAATATACACCCTCCTAGATTAAACCAGAAAAAAATAGAAACTCTGAACAGACCAATAACAAGCAGGGGGATTGAAATGGTAATTAAAAGTAATTGCAACTGAAATGGTAACAGAGAAAAAGTGCAGGACCAGATGGATTCTCAGCTCAATTCTATCAGACATTCAAAGAATTGGTATCAACACTATTGACACTACTCCAAAAGATAGAGAAAGAGGGAATCGTCACCAAATCATTCTGTGAAGGCAGTATCACCCTAATACCAAACCAGGAAAGGACACAACAAAAAAAGAAAACTACAGACCAATATCCCTCATGAACATAGATGCAAAAATCGTCAACAAAACACTAGCTAATCAGTAAGATAATCCACCATGATCAAGTGGGTTTCATACCAGGAATGCAGGGATAGTTTAACATTCACAAGTCAATAAATGTGATACATCACATAAAGAGAATTAAAAACAAAAATCACACAATCATCTCAATAGGTGCAGAAAAAGCATATGACAAAATTCAGTGTCTTTTTATGATTAAAACTCTCAGCAAAGTCGGCATAGAAGGGTCATACCTTAAGATAATAAAAGCCATCTATGACAAACCTACAACCAACATTGTACTGAACAGAAAAAAGTTGAAAGCATTCCCTCTGAGAATAGGACAAGACAAAAATGCCCACTTTCACCACTTCTATTTAACATGGTACTGGAAGTCCTAGCCAAAGAAATCAGAGAAGAAAAAGAAATAAACAGCATCCAGACCAGTAAAGAGGAAGTCAAACTGCTGTTGTTTGCTGATGACATGATTGTATACCTAGAAAACACAAAAGACTCATCCAGAAGTACCTAGAACTGGTAAGTGAATTCAGCAAAGTTTCAGGATACAAAATTAATGTACACTAATCAGCAGCCCTGCTATACACCAACAGCAACCAAGCTTGGAATCAAATCAAGAACTCAACCTCTTTTATGACAGCTGCAAAAAATAATAAAATACTTAGGAATATACTTAACCAAGGAAGAGAAAGACCTCTACAAGGAAAACTACAAAACACGGCTGAAAGAAATTCTAGATGACACAAACAAATGGAAACACATCCCATGCTCATGGATGAGTAGAATCAATATTGTGAAAATGACCATACTGCCAAAAGCACTCTACAAATTCAGTGAAATTCCCATAAAAATACCACCATCATTTTTCACAGAACTAGGAAAAAAATCCTAAAATTCATATGGAACCAAAAAAGAGCCCACATAGTCAAAGAAAGATTAAGCAAAAAGAACAAATCTGGAGGCATTAAATTACTCGACTTCGAGCTGTACTATCTTCCTCACGATCCCAAGAAGAGCCACAGGTTAAGAGAGAATCAGGAAAGAGGACTATAGGATATGTAGTAAAGAAAAACCACACAAGGAGGGTACCAATCTGAGCCCGACTGGCATTTCCAATGCCATGGCCAATCAAAGCATCAGACAGAATCACAGGAGCCCAGACGCTGACCTTGAGGCCACCTGGAATGAGGACTCTTTCCCAAATGCCACCATCCTCACCCCAGTCAGTTATAGCTCTATCCCCTTAGTATTGCTCCTGGTCTTCCTCTAACGTTATTTAGAGATCTATTAAGAATGTATATTTCTTATGTTTGCTAACCATCAGTGAAGTAAAACTTCCCTTTCTTTGTGATAAAAAAAGTCTCCTCCAAGCCTCAATGAATGTCATGTCTGAAGTGCTAGCCACTTCCCTCTGCTCAGTATGAGAATGCCATTGCTCTCTGAGCTGCATGCAAAGTGCCTCAGAGACTTCCTCCAACCCCCACAGAACAAGTGTCTGCTTTGCTTTCCAGTGGTTTCCTGACTTATGGAGCCCGTGGGCAGGGGTTGCAATTGTCTGTTGCTGGCCCTGAGGTCATGGAGGTAGGAGAGATTTTGCACAGGCCACAGCTTTCCCTAGGGGACCACACTGGGAATGAGTTGCTGTGAGAGACCCTGGCAGTTCTGCAAAGTTGCATGCATCACAGTGATGATTGGCAAAGCCCAGTGTGCTTTTTTTCTGCCAGCTATTCAGTAGAGCTATTTATTCCTGCAAGCATTAATCCAACAAAATCTATCTAGGCTTACAGTCAACACAACTCCCACAGCACCCTCCGTTTCCTTTGGAAAACACAATTTGTAGCAAATCTCCACTTTCTGTGCATACTTTCACTCTCCATCTAATAGCACTTTTTTTTCTGCACAACTTGTATCATTATCTGAAATTATATTGAGTATGTATTTGCTCAGGCATATTGTCTGTCTCCTACCACTGGAATGTAAATTCCTTATTCACAGGTGCATCTCAATGCCCAAAACAGTATCATGCAGGTGCTTAATAGTTATTTTTAAATGAATGAACCTATCTATCTTTTTCCATTCTCTCTTCTAACTGTTTTCTCAATTCTTGCCTTGGCTGAAACCTGGCTCTCCTCTGGGATCATGCTTCCCCTGCGTCTTTCTCAAGGAAAAGGAACTCATGCCCTATCATCTGGATATCAGAGGGCCAGCACAGGGTCATCTCTCCACTAACATTTTCAGATTGTGACTTCTTCAGCCTTTGTAAAACAAAAAGACAACCAAAACAAACAAAAGCCTCCGTCCTTTAACGTTTTTACCACCCTATATCTCTCTTTGTAGCTTTTGGCTACTGACTGCCTAGTCATTCTTCCCTATTTATTAAATATTTGACACTAGAACCAAGCCCTCCTCTTTGTCCTAATCCCCAAGGAATCTTAATGTCCATTTGGATGACTAACACCATGACCTGTCTGTAAAAAGTACTATACTACTCTCTGACCACAACCGATAGCAATCTTGTGCATTCTCTCTCTCTCTCTGTCTTTCTCTCTCCATTATTCCCACTGCTCAGGAATTTTAACCACACAGAAACCTCCAGTCCTTTAACCTGCTCAAGTTTGCTCTACCTCTTCCTTCTTGGAGGTCTTCACTTCTTTCAGTTGCTCACTTAGACTGTTCTTTCATCAACATTCTCCACTGCTTGGCTCCTTTGCCCTCCCATTGCACTGTGAGGCAACAAAGCTCTGGATCTGTCCAAGGTTCCCCCTCCCAGGCCCTAACCCAAAGCCACTGAGCCCTTCAGGAGAACGTGACAGATCCTTACTCTGCACATTGATGATATCCAAAACCGACTGGCCTCATGGTTGCTTAGCAAACCTTTCATGTTTTTATAATAAGCTGGCTGACCCATTTCCACAGAAAATATCTCCAGTCTTCTCCACCGGCTTCAATCTCCTTGTCCAGCTCCCCTTTCCTCACTTATAGCAAAATAACAGAAGCCGGTAGAAGGACACTTTCTCAGTTCCCCATCAGCCCACATTAAAACCTGTTGAAACTCTCTTTATGCTTTCCGTCTTCTCTCTCATTCAGTAGAAGCAGGAGCCCACTCCTAACCAAGGCCATTCCCTCTTCCCTCTGCATTTGCTCTGCGTCCCGTTCAGCCTCCTCAAGGCTCTCACATCCTCCATCATCCTCAGTCCCTTAGTCAGTACCTCGGTGTGCCTGGCCCATGCTAAGGGCTTGGAGTGCATGGGTGAACTCAATTGCCCCCCCCCCACCACAAGAAACCTGTGAAGCAGTGTTGTTATTACTGTACACCCACTTTACTTAACCAAGTTTACACAAAGGAGAAGAAAAATGTTCTATGTTCTTTACCCCACTATTATTAAATAAAACTGCATTTAGTTCTTATTTCATTTTGTCTGAGAAAATCTTAAGAGCCCAAAGGCCTGAGTTGTTGCTTAGCATACAAATAATAGTACTTATAGTGCTTCTAGTCTTTGTAATGAATGAACAAATGAAAAGATCTCTGATATAGGTGCCCTCACTCCCTCATAGCTTCAGTTGTTCTGCAACATAAATTTTTTCAAAGAATTAATCTGAGAGGCATTAAATTGAGAACAGCCCCAAGACTAGCACTTTGTTTTCTGTGCATTTAAAGATCTGTATAAATATCCATTGTTATCACCAACTTT